CCGAGACTGTCGATGCGCTGTTGTATCAGAGAAGGGAATGATTGCTCTTCATCCAGTCCATATCCGGCCGTGAGGCTGTTGCCAAAAAAGAGAATTGTTTTTTTATCCGCCTGAACGGCCTCTTCAGCGACGGTTGGCGTGTTTTGGTCATTATTTTCGGGGATATTCTCAACTTGTGCTGTACTTTCTTGTTTAGACTTGCATCCTTGTATAGTGACCCCTGTAGCAAGAAGAAAAAATAAAAAGATCAACGACAACTTATCTTTATTAAACATTTTGCGGGTATTTAGAATTAATCAAACTATCCACAGTTTTAACCAAGTAATCTGAAAAGAGTTTATTTATGTCTGTAATTTTGAAGGTGGACAACCTGAATATGAACTATCAAAGTGGCGGAAAGTCACTATCGGTACTTCAATCTATCAATATCGAAGTACATGAAGGAGAGACGGTATCCATCACCGGCCCTTCAGGAAGCGGAAAGACAACACTCATGGGATTATGTGCTGCCCTTGACAATCCTTCTTCAGGAGAAATCACCATCTTGGGAAATAAAATCAGCCCACTTTCTGAAGATCAAAGGGCTTTATTACGAAATAAGTATGTTGGCTTCATCTTCCAGAATTTTCAGTTGCTGCCCAGTCTGACAGCCCTGGAAAATGTAATGCTGCCCCTTGAAATGCAAGGTATATACACCGCTCACAAAGATGCCGAAGACCTGTTGAAAAGGGTCGGGTTGGCCGACAGGGTGACGCATTATCCATCTCAGCTCTCGGGTGGCGAACAGCAACGCGTGGCTTTGGCAAGGGCATTTATCAACAAACCAAAAATACTTTTTGCTGACGAACCTACCGGAAACCTTGATGGCGATACCGGAGAGACCATAGAAAAACTGATGTTTGACCTGAACAAAGATTATGGTACTACTTTGATCATCGTCACCCACAATCAGGACCTGGCTGCCAAAACCAAAAGAACCATACAGCTAAAATCAGGGCACGTAGTTTCAGATCACTTAAACGAGGTTCCTGCCTGAACATAATGAGCAGATTTACATTTTTACTCAAAACGGCATTAAGAGACAGCAGAAAGAACAGATCAAAACTTCTTTTATTTATGTCGTCCATTGTGCTTGGTGTTGCTGCTCTGGTAGCCATCAATTCATTCAATTACAACCTGCGCCAGGAAATAGATCGGGAAGCAGCCACACTTCTGGGTGCAGATCTTGCCGCTACGAGCAACAAAGTAGCAGAGCCCGAAATCCTGACCATACTCGACTCTTTGCCTGGCGAAAAGGCACGCGAGATGGAAATGCTTTCCATGTCCTATATTCCCAAAACGGATGAAACACAGTTTGTGCGACTGAAAGCGCTGGAAGGCAAATTTCCATTTTATGGCAAGATCAAAACGGACCCCGTCGATGCAGCAAAAATGTATAAAAGCGGCCCTTATGCTCTGGTCGACGAAAGCCTGATGCTACAGCATAGCTTAGCCACCGGCGACTCCATTAAGCTGGGAAATATGATGTTTTCGATCGTAGGAAAATTGAGCGGAGCCATAGGAAGTAT